GCCAAGCAGCATCAGAGGAGCAGGAAAGCTGACATTTCAGGCCCGAAACATCAGCTTTCCTGCTTCTCTGATGCTGCTTGGCCTGCTGTGTTCATCCAGCTCTACACCTTGTTATCTCAGATTCTCCAGCATCTGCAGTTCCTACTATCTCTGCAGAGTATACAGTTCTCTTAGACAGGTTAAAATGGTGTTGCTGGAACACTGTAGGAGTGGTGCAAGATTCCCTACTCACTCTCAACTCACTCTCACCCTTAATTCCCTCCTCACTCTCAACTGCACCATTCCCACCTTGCACAGGAGCGTATGGTGGGGGTTAAATCTCATTGAATGGAACTCGATTTGTTTCTACGATAACCTCTCAGGCAATTATTTCCAAAAAGATAAATTTGCCTCTTCAATCAAATTGTTTCAAATTTAATGACTGAAAGATGGCAGCTGTGAGATCCAACACACCATTTTTCATGTAGTATGGAAAATGGTTCTTGGCCGTTAGTAGATGGATGTGTCTGTGAAGCTTTCAGCATAAGTTTAACCTGTGATATTGTTCTGGTTAATGCTGAATCAGACAGTAGTTACAATCTAATTTGATGTTACAACAATCATCAGCTTTAAAGTATCCAAATAGTTGATATCCTAAAGTATTACCAGGAGTGACACAGTGTTCCATGAAAAAAAGGAAAAAGAAAATCATTGGGTGAAAAATATATTATTAACAACAAATCCTGTTACCCATTATAAAGTCTGCAGGGATAAACATGTGGCTATCCAGTCCTCTGAGAACTGTGACCAAAATCACAGAACACATTTCCTAAAACAACCAGGATCTTGCTTCAGCGTTAACAGTGGCTCCAAAGCAAACATTGCAAACTTAACAAATTGTTTCTATTCTGTAAAATCACTCCAAATTGTTGTTTGAGGGGTTATGTCCGATTGTGTTATAAAAGGAGACATGGTATACATCACCTTAGGAAGCAATGCAATATCATATGATTTTACTCTCTCTTGCATCCCTGTGGCAAGATGAATCCACAGTAAGATGTTTCTGAAATAAAGTTAACGTTTCCCTCATTCCTCAACAGAATCTGTAAATATTCTTTGGCAATACAACAAGAACAAGAATATTACACAATACAGTGGGAAATACCAGTAAAAAGATATTAATATTTGGGAAGGAACATATTAGATGAACTGCACCTCCTCTTGAAATATACAAGATGAGTCAGACTAATATGTGTCATTTTCTAATTTTATTGTTTTTTCTTTCTGGGCAAACATCAGGTAAAAAGTCACTGACACTGTCTGACCTGCTGAGTCTTATTTTTTTATTGTTCTTATTTCAGATTCCCAGCTCCCTATTTTTGTATTAGTTATTCATTTCAATTCATTTCCAGGTTAGTGGGTGCCCAGGGAAAGTAGTTCTACATTGGCCTCGTAGCTATTTTTTGTATGTGCGCATATGTGGGAGCTTTAAAAAAACGACTTATTCTTTTGGAAAAGCCACTATAATGTAGAAATTACAGAATTGATTTAAAGTTATCTTGCATCTCTTAATGTGGATCTTTAGTTTCGACCAATACCATTATTTCCAAGTTTCACTTTTGTTTTCTGGCATTGCTAGCAAGGCCAACATTGATTGTTCATCTCTAGTTGCCCTTAAATTGAATGGCTTCCCAGGCAATTTCAGAGGACGATGAAGAGTGAACAACATTGCTTCGGATTTGAAAGTATTTATGTCAGCCACACCAGGTAAAAGCAATAGATTTCTTTTTCTAAAAAGGCATTAGTGAATCACATAGGTTATTACATTAATCAATGACAGTTTAATGGTCACCATTACTGAGACAAGCTTTTAATTTCAGGTTTTATTTACTGAATTTAAATGGCATGGTAGGGCTTTAGCCCATGCCCACAGAACGTTAGTCTGAATTTCCCAATTGCTAGTCCTGTGGTATTACCGCTATGCCCCCATCTCCCTCTAGTAGATGGGCAAGGATGTGATTTGTATTTGATATTTCAGCCTCCATCACTGGCCACCCTAGGGGCAGTTAACAATGACTCCTTGATGAAGCACAGCTCACTGTGGTTTCGATGGATATCAGCCAGCCATGGGCTGAATGGCCATTAGTCATGTGGAGACATTGATCGTGAATGCCGACAGCCTATTTGATGATAGGAGCAGCCCACACAAATCCAACCTCACCAGGCATCCGTATACTGCACTCTCAGCAGAGGCCTCTAGATCAGAAATACAACCTTAGCTGATCTTGTCCTGTATAATCCAGCAATGAGGAGGACAGTTGTAGCTACCTTACAGTTACCTGTTGAGATGGAGGAGCTCAATATAGACCAAGAGTTAACACCGGAAAGTTTCTGCTCCATAAAGCTGCCACACATGCTCTGTCTGATATTTCTGAGCTACTGAGAGAAACTGCAGTTTTTACATGTGAAATATCATTGGATTACACAGTAGAGCAACAGAAACAGATCACTTGATCCAAACACCACGACAGTAGCAAGTAGGGTATGCAAAGGTACCTATGGAAGTTCCCCAGAATGAAGGATTGAATGGATAAGGCTCTGACGTTTGCATTTATGCAGCTCATTCATGGGGGAAGGAAGTGGTTGGTATCCGATATTTTGGACCACCACGATAGGGCAGCCTGTAGTTGCAGTTTACATGGGCTCCTTGATGATCTACAAGTCTTAATTGTTGTGATGGATGTCAACCACTTACTGGTACCCTGGCAGAATAGCTATTGGTCATGAAAATCTAGGCAACCTCCTTAGCCTGTCCCCATATGGCCTGCCTAGCACCACTGGGCAGGAAACCATCCTCACTGAGAATTGACCTCCAGAAACATCCCACTGAGGTAACATGTCAGGCAACACTGCTGCATGAATTTTCCCAGCTGCCCATCTTCTGACCAAAGCAAACCTCCAGTCCAGTGGTTCAATAGCCACCTTGGATTCAAAGTCAGAATTCACATGATTGAAGTTTTTTTTTGGATTTAAACAACTGCAATGCACAACCATAGTAAAGATGATCAGAGGCATCAGTTCCTATGGTTGCACCAGTCAGGATGGTGTCAGACTCAATGTTAAATGTTAAAATCAGATAATCACTTTTACAAAGAGTGCAATCGATTTGCAAGAAGATGTGTTTGTTAATTTCAATGTATCATTAAGTGAAAAAATCGTCAGAACATTTTATCTTAGCTGTAAAGGACAATTATCTACCAGCTGATATCTTACTATTGAAAACATGAGGGCTGCAGGAGCTTAAGTTGCTACACCCATGGAAGTAACTCTAGAGGAAGTTACATATATTTATATACAAAATAATTGACAGTTTGTCATATAATAGAACCAGCATCAAAACAAACTTGGTTTCCAAAACGAACTGGGGGTGAA